TGACATTTAATGTAGGACTAAAAGAAAAAGGTTACTAAGAATAATTGTTAGAAGCTACTGTACTTCTGGTAAGATTAGAGCATTTTGTCAATGTCTAAGACTTTCTCACAAGGTTTCGACGTCTACAAACACTGATCCTGATAATTGAATATTGATTTTTTACTTGTCATGCCTTTTTAGTAGACTTCACTCCATCTAAATAGTCATTGCCTTTAATCTAGAGAAACACCTCTAAAGGTCACATGTCTCCATGGCATTTATTCCTATACTGAACCCTTCTATTTTCCAAAGGCTAACTTGAACAAATAGACTCAATGTCCACTGTCTTCCATTCGAAGATAGGAAATGCTATCATCAAAATGAATATGGATTTGGGATTACGGAAAAACTAAATGAATCTTGCAGTGAAACGGCTTGGGAGACCTCCATGTTAGCAATCTTGTACCCTTTGTTCTTTCTTGTGAGCTATTGAGCGAAACTCAATTATGGAGACAGACAATATTGCCAAATTACCCAGCCTGTAAATAGAGATTTGTTGTCACCCGGTGTGTGTTTGAGAGGTAGGAGGTTGCTGGAGGTGCAACCAGTGTGGCTGACTGCAGTGACTAACTGTAACGGTAACACGACAGCAGAGCTAAAATGGCGAATTGCTAAAAAGCCAATTTTCCAGTCTGTCTCTGTCTCTCTTTCTCTCTCAGTTTTTTGTTGTGGCTTCAAGTCCTATATTCTTTCCCACCGTCACTGAAATTTCACTGCCTTTTAATCATTTTTCACTCTCCGCTCTACAAGGTTTAAAAATGTAACATACCTCAGGGTTTGGAACAACAGCTTCATTATTTATCGTCAGGTGTTCATTAGTGTAGAGATATGGGTTAGGTGTAGTTTATTTCAGAATTCTGGGATAGACGCTCTGTATACATTCTTGTTTTTCATATTTAACATTTTAAATCTCACTTTTATCATTCACGCTCTGATGCAGGCACCAACATCAGCCTTTTATACGGCTTATCAGGGTGTAGTTCTCACACATCTACACTGTATCTACTTTGATCTCCATGTTGTGAGCTAAGCTTTAGTAAAAACACGTTGCTAAAGCTGCACTTAGCACCCTGCCTGACATTTATGAGAAACACGACTCCAGTGCAGTCAGACCAACTCAGACAGACTGCACAGCGCTGCAGTGTGAACAAGGAGGCCAAACACCTTGGTGTTTTCTTAAATCCCTTCAGTTTTTAACCCACTGTCCCCCCATTTTCCCCTTCTGAAAAGGTCTGCCTGTTGATTTTTCACTGAGCATGTGCAAAGCATGCGTGTGAAAATAGCAGCGCTGAGAGATTGAACAGATTCACCTTTTCTCAAGTTCACATTGGTGGGAGCAGCGGGTGAGTTGTGGGAGTTTATTTGGCACGCCAGAGCATCTGTAGCTCTCGGGTTTCCGCTGGTGGATACACACACACACACACACACACCTGTCGCTGTCTGTAAGGGGACACCGGCTGCTTATTGAACGTAGAGGAAGAAAACAAGAAAGCAAGAGAGGAGTGGGGAAAGGTTAAATGGCAGGTGGAGACCCCCAATCGATGGTGCAAGTGGACATTCAATCTTTTAGCTTAAACCAGACTCTTTTGTTTGATTGAGAGGTGTCGGACCCTCAGGATCCAGAGGGATATCGAGGGTTAGTGAGGTCGGGTTGGGAGAGGGCAGGGTCAAGTTCCCGCTCTCCCCTTGGAAGCTGGGGGAAGCAGCCACCCAGGGCCCTATACATAGGACTGATGCTGCTCTTTAGCTGTTCAGCAGATGGTCACACTGCTGCCGCGTGGATCACTTTGCCTCGGATTCAACGGATTCTCTGGCTAAAGATCAAGTCAGGGGTGAAGAGAGGGACAGAAAGCGTCTTAAGAAAGTGTCCTGGCTGTGAAAACACATGGCTACTTCATTAGTTGTTGAGATTCAATCATAGCGATTGGATTTTTATGAGAGAACGCCACTCTGTAGGTTTCTTGGTATTAAACCCTCCACATAAACAGTGTCTCTGGTGGTTGTTTTTATTTAGAGCAATGTTGGCATTATCATCCTTTCTACTCGGATGACTGGATGGCATCCTGTCTATGAAGCTTTTTAAATCCCAGTGCAACCCTGACCACTTCTGGTTCTGGAGCTGCACTATCAACGTGAAATTATAATTGTGTCTCAGCCATTTAAATGTTGCTTATTTCAAGTAACTCAAGTATTGATGAACATATGTTGCTGTCTGGCTTTACAAGCTAGATCTAACTGCTGCTGAAGATTTTTCTGACAGTAAACACTGTCATTAAATTAGTTTAACAATTTAGTAATTATTAAATTCTAAAACATGTTTTTTATGAAATCCTGATCGTTTGATTTGACTAATTATAAATGCCCGATATCTCTTACTGTATATCAAAGTGATTTGCAACTCTGTTAGCCAGTTTTGTTCATGGTGACAAAACAAGTTGAGATCTTAAGATGATTTGATATTTATAGCATATAGGTACATATAGGTACAGTTTTTGACTATTTATTGACATTACATTACATTACATTGCATTTAGCTGACGCTTTTATCCAAAGCGACTTACAATAATCTAGAAGCAGAATAGCTAAATATGTAAAATCCATTTGTTTTTGACATGTTCAAGAAAAATGTATTTGTGTAACTTTGGTTGCGTCCACTTCTTTCTATAAAAGTGCACTATTTTTCTTGGATATTAAAGAAATCCAAAAGTATTTAAATACGTTTTTTCTTATTGAATGTAATGTCTGTGTACTTGACTACGTTTCAAAGTAATCTGACCCAGCCTGTTGGCACATTCATAAGCCTTTAAAAAGACACACACTCGTAGATGAAGCACAACACTAACGGTGCCAGGCCCCGCTGGTTTCCTAAGGCCACCACAATTCCAAACATCTGAAAAGAAAGCGGTGCATTTACTCGATTTTAAAGAGGTGACAAGTCTTCGGTCATCCCGTGGAGATATTGAGTGTCTCCGTCTGTCAGACTGAGACAACAAGCTGTGTTTCCTCCGTCACAACTCTACCAGGAGAGCTGGAGCGGTGTCTCTGAGCCAACATTGATGCTTTCTGCTTTCTGTAATTACCTCCCTGAAGCCCAGAGTTGGATTCTGGGTATTTAAAACACTGCTGGTCGGGGACTTTGGTGCCAAACCGGCTCTCTTTCACTTCCCTGTGACATTTACCTCCACTGTGCTTCAGTATTGAAAGTGCTTGAAGACAGATTTTATTTTGTGAGGTTGTCAATACTGCCTTTTTGTGGATATGCTTTAATGAGCTTCTGCACTAATTAGCTGCTGTATAAATCCCCATATTCCCCTTTCAACATAATGTAGCTTTTTGTCAATTTCAGCTACAGAACTAAGTGTTTCTGTGGAATAATATTCTCTGAAGTAGAAATTACTTCATTTGTACAATATATTATTGTTCCTTTGTTTTGTTTTACTAAGGGAAATACATGTTATAAGATAAGAAAATAAAGATTTGTTATAGCCTTACACTAACAATTTATCGCTAACATTTAAAAAAATGTCTTCTTACTGCTCTGTTTGTGAAATGAATGTGTTTTACTGTTCAGGAAGAAGACTGTCTGATCTTATCTATTATATCTAATTAGTGATGCTTCGCCAATGCATGAGTGTAATGTTCACACTAAATACAAACCAAAAAGAGATTATGTTTAGGCTTCTTACAATGTCTGTTTGAACTTTTACATTTGCCGGAAGAGACGAGAAATCTGAAAATTGTTCTGGATTTTGCAAGACACCCTTTTCTCTTTGTTTTCATTTCATTTCCATCTCTACAGCAGTGTGAAATTACAAATTGTCTAATTTATCATTCGTAACAGGAGACTGTATGCTTTCAAATGAAGTTTAAAAAAACGTCTGCAGTATTAAAAACACCCCAGAAAAAAAAATCCTTCATATTATGCTTTTCTTCACACAATATTCTGACCATGCAGGGTGACTTTTACTTCATATCAGTATCACATTACATCTTCTAGTTTTGGTTCCAGAGTGCCATTGTTTTGAAATGCTGTCAGGCTCTGTTATCTCCCTCCTGTGTCGGTGGTTTCTCTGCAGCCTGTATCTAAATCTATTGAATTAATACTGCTGTGAAGGCGGTGGGAGCCAGAACCATGGCAACCATCAGCTCAGATTAGTGTGGGACGGTAGCTGGCAGGGGAGACACGCACACACACACGCACACACACACACACACACACACACACACACACACACACACACACACACAATCTCACACACACACACACACACACACACACACACACACACACACACACACACACACACACACACACACACACAGACACACAGACACACAGACACACAGACACACACACACACACACATCGATATCTGTGTTGCCAAATAGAGCCGACCCTCTCGACCCTGACAGATACAGATGTTGGTTTATTGGATGATTTGAATCGAGGGTTTCCTCTCTCCCACGGAGATAACAAAGACTGAGTAACAGGTTTAGAAATGATATTCCTCAATGCTGCTGATCTATATAGGATTTGTTCTTTTCTTTTCTACTGCTGAATTGGTTTTCTCTTCAAAGTTGACTACAAGATACTTCATTTTACCCCATTGACAATGCACAGATTTTCTTAACCAAAACATGACAAATTATTATGGATAAATGCCTTTTTCTATTATATAAGATTCAACGAAATGTGTTTCAACGCTAGACTTTTTTTGTTGAGATGGATCAGCCTCCACAAGTTGTTTTTTGAATGCCTCTTTTAATCAGAAAGCCTCATGTGCAGCATTGACCTCCATAAGATAAAATGTATATCTAGGTGTCAATTTGAAAACTTAAAGTGAGGCTTGCACGAGAGGCAACAAAACTGAGCCAATCTAGATATTTTTCTATTTTGCCCCATCTTGTTTAGGTCACTGTCACAACATGTTTTTCTCTAATGCCTCTCTTTCCTCTGGCAGGATGATGAGGTGGTGCTCCAGTGTGTGGCCACCATCCAGAAGGAGCATCGCAAGTTTTGCCTGGCTGCCGAGGGACTGGGAAACCGTGTGTGTTATCTGGAATCCACTTCAGAAGCTAAGGTGAGGATTGCAAATGGCCCCATTTTGTGCTTTGGATATTAGGAGAAAATAGGAAGTCTGTAGCAGTTTGGGATGAAACAAGCAGCTGTAGCAGCTACACAGCAATGCATGACCTTTAACCTGATGCAGTACTTGAGAAATCTGCTACTGAAATTACTTTTGCTGAAACTAACAACCATTTTCATGCAAAATATATTTTGGCTTGTGTAACCATTAACCAATCACCAACCATAAACCGTTTTCGTGTTTGGCGTGATGACATTCAGTAATCTCATATAACCACTCGTTAGCAAGCGCCTTTTCTAGGACATGTACGAGCCTCGCATTTCACAAGTAGGGTATTTACAGATGTATTTATCTCGTAAAACAAAACCTTCAAATCTCTTAAGCTTTTGTCAACCACAGACCTTTTCTTTAGGCATCCAAACATCTATTTAAAAAACCGCAATGACTTCAAGGCGAGATAACCAAAAGTGCAAGAAATGCTAACTTGTTTCCAGGTTTAAAGTTCTCCTTCCCGCAGCACTCTATAAGATTAAATTGTAGAACTATCCTGATGTTTTCAGCATAGTTGCACAAAATGACAATCATTGAGAAAAAGGTCTGCTGTGAATTATTATTTTTTGGCCGCGTCTCCTCCTCATAGAGTGTTAAATCAAAGAGGTGCTTTTACTGAACCCATCTGTTTAATCTCTCTGTCCCCTCCACCTGTACTCTTAATGAGATGAGCTTTCCTGTCAAAGAATAGGGAAGAAGTAGAGAGACCTATGGTGCAAAATAAAGCTACTTTGATAAACACAAAACAACCATTTCAGTGATCCAGGTTCAGTTCCAGCTTGGCCACAAACCCTAACACATGACAGGGGTCAGTTATGGATCATGTATTTGTTTCTGCACCGGTGCATCCTAGTCTATGTTTTTGACCACTATTGTTTTAAAATAGAGAAGTTTCCTTAAATTAGCATTTAGCTGCCTGTGGCGTTGTAACAGAGCTGTCAATAATCTGTTACACGTCTCATTAATCTTCCCTTCGACAGCACTTACTGCATTGAAATGAAGCAGATCGTGTTGGCTCTGGAGAATATGCCTCTTAAAAGAAACATAATTGTTGCTTGCATCATTAGTCACAACATTTGCAGTGATGATGTCAGTCAGTACCCTCTAATGCCAGGATGTTTATGAGCTGTGCATATCATGTAAAGCCTGATTTAATTTAGCCACTGAGCAGAAAGACTTGGGGAGTCATTTCTGCTGATCCACCTGGAACAGTTGTTGAGTCGGAGGGCAACACTTGTGTAGTTGTAGGCAGCGCATCACACACACCTGTCTCCTCTCACCTTGGGTACCGGTGACAATGCTCCAGGCCTCCTTAGGTGTGAAATGTGGGAGTGTAAAGGAGGGGGGGGGGGGGGGGGGGGGGAAGGTCGGCAGGATGGGAGGAGCTGTCATCTGCTGGAGGATCTCAGGTGTTGACGCCTCATTTCCCAGACTGACTCTTTCGAATCCTGCCTGCTGCTGCTGCTGCTGCTGCTGCTGCTGCTGCTGCTGCTGCTGCTGCTGCTGCTGCTGCTGCTGCTGCTGCTGCTGCTGCTGCTGCTGCTGCTGCTGCGAGGGAGAAATAAGGCCAGAGTGAATTTGAACATTACATTTCATTAAGCTGATGCTTTCAGCGACTTACAATAAGTGCAATCAACCAAGAGCTGACAAATGGAAGCATTAGTGAATTGGATCTGATTTAAAGAAGCGGCCATTTTCTTTAGTTTTTTTTACATGTTGCTCCATATATTGATTTTATTGTCTCCATATTCAAAGTCAAACCATTAGTGCAGGGTATATGCAGGAATCCTGAAGTCAAATGTAAGACCTTTTAAGACCTTTTTTAAGACCCTTTTCATACATTTTAAGACCTCATCGCCACTTGGAGTTTTAACCGGTTACATTGGCGACACACTTTACCTCACATTGACTATATACAGTATTGATTGTCCTTCCTCCTTATCTTCCAACCATTTGGACGCAAACTTGCATTTCCCCATAACGATGTTGTTTAACAACCGGCGTAAACGGACCTTTGCGCGCTATCAAGCAGTGAGCGTGCGATGTCCTGTTCAGATGACGTCAAATCCAACGGGATGCCATAAATAAACTACACAGAATCACACTACACACCTACGCAATGATTACATTCAGGCAAACTGTAGAATACAACCTCTTTGGACAATTTATATACTTATTGAAAACAAGCTACAAAATGTAATACCTTGGAAAATGCCGTTTAATACTTTTTAATAGCGTTAATTTTCGCTAAATTGATTTATCGACTTTTAATACTTTTTAAGACCCCGCGGACACCCTGTAGTGGCACCATTTATTCAAAAATGTGAATATTCAGGAGGTAAAATACAATCTTAGAATAAAATTAATCCTCTTCCTTAAACCTCTAGTATAGGAAGTTCACATTAATGCCAGTTTATGCAGTATATAACACATATACTGTACAGTACTTGATGAATATGCGGTGTCCTAGCATGAAGTGTGAGGAAGGCTATTGTTTTTGCGCAGATTATAATTGTTCTGCTTTTGAACTTTTGAGGTGTCTAATGTCAATACATTTCATGAAATAACCCAAAGGATCATAATTATATCCTTTAACTCTAACATTAAAAAAAGGGCTTATTTTATATTGCATGCTTTTGTTTGGGAACAAGAAGAGATTAATGGGATTTACAACACTAGTATTCTCTTTTCACTAGCTCACATGGTGCAAGACTCTGGATTTAGAAATACTGCTTGAACTTCTGAAGGATCACTTTGCTCATTTTCACAGCTGATATTATTCAAATCAAATCAAATCAAGTTTTATTTATATAGCACATTTATAAACTATTTTTGGTCGAGCCAAAGTGCTGTACAAATAATAAAAATACCCTACAGTGAAGACATTTTACAGCAAATACAACAGCACAGTTTGTTCAGAATATCAGTATGAGAAAAAACGACACCCTCTGTCCTTAGACCCTCACATCGTACAAGGAAAAACTTCCGGAGAAAAACCCCACAGTTTAAAGGGAAAAAATGGGAGAAACCTCAGGGAGAGCAACAGAGGAGGGATCCCTCTCCCCGGACGGACAGACGTGCAATAGATGCAGTGTGTAAATCGAAGAGATAATACATTTTACAGCGTAGGTAGGTAGACCGAATGTTAGGAAATGCATGTGTCTATAATAAGAAGATGAATCCACGAGGATGTCAACAACAATCCTGTGGGAGCCTTCAGGGAAGTAGCATGACGAGAGCCAGGCAGGACCACAGAGACAGGCCCAGCCACGACCCGAAGTCCACGACTTAATCCAGAACTCAGGATAGAGGATCCAGGGCACAGGACCACAGCAAGAGGATCAGCCACGACTCCGGATCCCGGCTTTATTGTCTTAAGCTCCCTGTAGTCTCTGTAAAGGTCGCTGTGACCGTTGAGACTCTTCTGTTCCCAGACAAGCAAGAATGTTCAACGTGTCTGCCCATCAGGAAGAAGTATGATAATTGGGATATTGGCGGGCGGTGAATAATTCATAAGCGTGTCAGATCTGTAGCGGGTTGCGAGTTATCACTGTGAAAGCTCTTATGACACCACAGGTGTGTCATGTCATGATGCAGCTTCTTGCAATAGAACATTTTCAAATAACCCAGTTTTAAGTTTTGTGGAGAGATGACTAGATATTGGGCCTGCTTGCCTATGAACAACTATCATTTTGTTGTTGACATTGAAAACCTCTTTTGTGGTTGTAAATGTAATTAAATGATGATTATCTGAGTAGAAAACATTTGTGCGCAGTGCAGGCTCACAGATCTGGACACGTATCCCATGCATGTTTGCGTTGAGTTACAGAGCAGCACCATCCTCATTATCACCCAGCAGCCCTCCCCTCTGCTCACATTTCTCACTTCACTGCAGGGGTCAGGGGTCAGCCGGGTGTAATACTGAGTCAGGGCAAGTGCCAAACACCTTTAAATCACTTCTGTGTTGGGGACAGATGGATAGCATGTTGCATAAAGCTGGCTATTGTTGTGAAAGATTAGTGTAATCAATAAAAATAGTAATATAGAAGCAAATGAGAGTAGGGATAGGAACTGATCACATGTCATGTCAGTATAATGTGAATCAACAGTGCCATCTAGCACATCACAAGGTAAATACATTTTCCATACTTTGACAAGTAGATGCAAGTGTTATTTACATATTTTATATAATCTCAAATGCTCCATTTCCATTCTTCAACTGCCTTGTTTTGCATTTGCACTTTGACTGAACTTTTCTGGCAGAATGTATTTAAAGTTTATAAACTAAATAGGATGATGAAGAGAAATCTAAAGCATGAAACAAAACACAGTGTGCTGAAGAATAAACGCTAGCCTACATAAGAATGGGTCATTGCACCTGCATGCTGTACACCTTATGACATGCCTCCTCATAATCCCCAGTCACTCTTTAGCAACACACTGGCATAGCATAGAAGTTGCAAATCATCAGAATGATTTATAAGCACTATTCCTCACTGAGCAGTAATCCTTTCAGTTTGTCTCTGGTCTCAGATCAGTGCCTGCAACTAATTTAGAAGCCAATTACTGCTGTGGAAATATCAAGTAGGATGTAGGTAACAATTTACACGTGTATACTGTACTGTATGTGTGCATGTGTTTAATTAATCAACATCTACAGAACTGCATTTTTCTGTTATCAGATCAATTGAGTTTAATTTCTTTAAGATGCACGAAGATTAATAGAAACAAATGAATAAGAATTTGTATATCTAGCATTACTTTGACCAGAATGAAAGTGACATTTGCAGACAGATCCCAGCATACATGAGCTATAAAAGGGAGAACAATGTCTATATACAGTAGGCACCAAAATTAAATTAGACTCTAAATATGTGTCCGTTGTCAAAAATTGGTTTCCAAAACGGTTTGAATATAAATCAATTTGACGCAAGCATTTGTTTAGAGCCTTTTTAGATTGCCACTGCATTTTTATTTAAGTCACAGCCTGCACGTTACAGTCCATCAAACTAAATTGATACCATGTGTGACGACCTTTACAGTGTCAATAAGCATTACGAATGAATTGATACATTTCTAAAATGATGCAGCTAAGAGTTCTTTAACATTTGAAAAGCATATCAAGTTTGCCTCAAGTTTGGTGTTATGTTATGTATGTCATGTCAATAAATCTGAGCTCTGAGGATCAGGAATGTTGGTTGCAGTAACAAAAGCTTGAGGCTATACTGGGAACATAAAAGAGAAAAAAAACAGTCTAGGAGAATAGAAACTCCTGCATATTGATTATGTATCCAGGAGAGGAGTCTGTTTCTTATGAAAACACTGCCACCGTCAATGCCTCTTCAACTAATGTTTCCTTCCCTCCCCCCTCTCTCCTTTCTTCCTTCCCCCCCGCAGTATGTTCCTCCAGACCTGTGTGTGTGTAACTTTGTGTTGGAGCAGTCCCTGTCGGTGCGGGCTCTGCAGGAGATGCTGGCTAAGACTGGGTCGAACAGTGAAGGGGTGAGTACTACCATCCCTCCGTCTGATATCTACTATATCTTACACAACACACTGTACACTTACATACACAAACACGTACACAAATCAATCTGTAGTCTATCAGTAGCACTTGGTCGAAAATACCCTTGAGTTATTTTTTTAGGTTTCAGTGAGCAAGTCTCATAATTTATTTCTGTGAAATTGCTTTTTATATGCATTGTGGTCTGAGTGAGTGTAAAAGAATAATTATCTACACAACTGTTTTCCAGTTGACATAATAGGATATTTATTGTGTAAACTTGAAAAGAAATCTACTGCCTGTTAAAGCGTCACAGTACTGGAAATACAAATGCACCAAATCTGTTCATAGTGGTCTCAGTTCAAATACTGTAAACTGGCCTGATTGGAAAAACTTCAGAGACCTTTTGAAGCCACTTTATCACAACCAAGTCCAGCCATGGTTGTTTTTCTATTGTCCCCAAAATGATGCATTCAAATGCTGTCAGGATTTCAGGATTTCAGGTTTGGCCGTATTTGATGACCTACTTTCCCATAGTGAGAAAAGCACCTAATGTCACATCAGATGCTGATGATCAGATGTGTGAGAACATCTTTAGACAGGCAAAGATGTTTGTATAAAATGTTACAGTGTGATTATTTATGCATAGACTAAATGTTACTACTTTTCGGGCATTTTACTTTGATGGTTGGTTGGATTAAATCCCAAAGGCAAAGCAGACGGACCCAATCTAGCAATACTCTGAACTACTTCAACACCAAGAACTGATATTGAATTCTAAATAGAAACTGTCTCTTTTCATTCTCTGTAACACTCTCCTGTTTTGCAAAACGAGTTCAGAAGGCAATGATAATGAAAGGCCGTCGGGGGTCAAAGAAAGGAGGGAAATGATCTGTGAGTGCACTTCTGCATCCACAGCCTCCTTTCTCCTCTTGATTTACGCTTAACAGTCCTCCGGCTCCACTCCATCTCACTTGGCATGTTTATTAGAAACGGTAAGTAATCTTTGATCGGGCTCTGTAGTGCCATGGAGTTTTCATCGACGGGCAATGAAGCACTGCGCTGGTCTACATTCAGTCTGTTAACCCCTTCCGTATGTTCATATTCTTTCATGATGCTGCGCTCCAACAAAGTCATTTCATGTGTCGTTTAATCTCATCACCCAGCCATTCTCGATCCAGAGGAGGGGTTAAGACATGGGAAGGGATGGCATCACACGTTTGGATGAAATGCTAATGTTTTGGGAAAAGCAAAGAGAAAACAGTGCTATATTTTAATTTACAAACCACGACATACAAGACAATTCTTTATAGTGATCTTTTTTTGTGCCAGACAGCTGCAGCAATTCAGAGAAACCTGAGCACAACACAACATGATATTTTGAAGATTAAGTACCAAATCCTAAATATGAATGCAAGCTAGCCAAAATGGTGTGTTGTGCTGCATGCTACCACTTTTCCTTCATGTAGCTTTCTGGCACAAATGGTTCTTTAAGTGTCTTATTTTGTGTATACCGCTTGGGTCGTCCCTACTGGTGAATCAGGCCTGCGTTGTTATTAGCCTGGGTAGCAGATTTGTTTTGTGCTTAACAATGCAACATTGTTGGCTGGCCTCGTTTGGCAAGACAACATGATGTTGGCCAGAATACAAAATCTGCTGGCAAGGCTAATGAATCAGCATCCTCTATCCTTTCCACTGCAACGGCCCATTTCTCTCCATTGTTGCTCTCACATTTGCGTAATTGACTGCCACACAACCCGATAACAAGTTATTTTCATTTGTATCTTTTTGTTGCTAGAGTGCTGACCATGAAAAATGGGTAGGTCCATCAGTTTGTTCATCCATCACGTTGTCAGCGTGCATGACAGACTGCCAAACGAAAGGGTTGAATTACCGGCACTTTCATTTAAAGTGACGACCATTTCTCGATTGCCATAAAATCTTCATTTATAGCTGGAACAGCATTTAGTTTAAACTGCGGTGGCAGGTACTGCAGTGTTAGGAGATATTAAGCTAATGGTGGTACATTTCATTTTTTCCACCTCAGCACATATTGTGAAGATGGATATTAAAACACATTTATTTCTGTGTACTTCTTCTGGATTGTAAATTAAGTTTTTCCTTTAGCATAACTTCTGGGCCAGAGTGCGAGACACAATCAATTAGCTCGTCACAGATGTCTCCGAACTTAAAATGATGGCAATCTTGAAATAGACATCCGTTGGTGCTCTCACGTTGTACACAGGAGTCAAATGTTTTGCCTGGTCTCTGAAGACTGCTCTGTGTAAAGTGTGTAAGCACTTTAAACTGAAAGTGCTGGCTTTTCATTTGCTTAAGCTATTCATCCAATGCAATAAGATTCAAGTTTTAGTATGCAGCTTACAGTATTTGTGCTGTTAAAAGATACATGCATACATTTTGCTTACCAAAGGTAGTGGTGAGCTCCCTTATTTATCTAATTTACTGAATTTAAATTGAAGGATCTGAAAACCCACACGTTGGCAGAAAAAACTCACTTGTGGTTTTGGTGTGCTGCTCTGTTTTCTCTGGGTTTGTTCTCTAACATCAATTAATATTAAGGGATTTTAAACAAGTTAATGTCCTGATTGTTTAACTTTTTTTGAGCAAAGCTGTTTATAGATAATTCGAGGTTTATTCAGGTCACACTTCAGTTTTTATCTATTTTTCTTTACATCCTCAACTTGTGTTTTTCTTTTCTTAACTTTCACATAATACACATCACAGTGTACATCATATTTTTTGATGGACTGGTATAAAGTAAATAATAAAGCAAATAAAGCACAATTACTCTCTCATTATCCAAATAGTTTGAAGGACAGGGCAGTGCCTATGTACATTATAATCGATATATCAGATGGTACTTAGCAAATGAGTTTGGCATTAATCCCTTCTTGACAGCATTGGAAAAGTGATTAGTGTGCTATTTTCCATCCTCAGGCTGTTCCATATAAGACAAGCGATTTATATGAAGTGAACATTTAAGTTAATTACTTCGTCATGCTATAGTATAATAGCTGTGTAAGGCTTAAGCGAGAAAGCACACACTCTGTTTTATTATTATAACACCAAGCAGGCAGTGTTCAGGATATTGGCTCAATATCAGGTATTCATACACAGCCAGCAAAATCATCCATATGTTTTAATTTTACACCGGCCCATAACACAGTTTCTAAATGAATAACCCGAAAAATAAATCAATGATTGACAATCGTTTAGAACTAGTTAAGTGTTTCATAAAGTATAAACTACATTTTTTTGTGTGTGTATTACTGTAAATCTGATTGCTTTGGTAGTTTAGCTACAATTTACTATAACCCAAAGATATTTATCGAGTTAAAAACAAACAAAATATGTTTTTCTACTGCATACTCTTATCCACTGTATGTATTTGATAACAAACGTTTCCACCTGATCTAGAATCACTGAAGGCTAGATGGACAGCAGTGGTAACAGCCCATCTATTACATTTGAGCAAAAAAAGCATAATTATGCAATAGTACAGAATTAAAAAGTAAAATGTTTCTTACCATTAACCAAACGTTTAGTCTTCTTTCGTCCGCCGTTTTCCGCGTAATATCAATTTTAGCTCGGCCTTCCGTGTCAAAAAGTGTGTTTATCTTCAGGCGCTAACATTACTAAAGGATATCAACACACATGTTACGGCCTCAAAGCGTAGGTGGCAAACTTCTTTGTTAAGGAAAATGTCATGGTTAAATACTAGTACTTTAATGGCAAAAATGTGTGAGACTGCAGATATACTTTTTATGTTGTTCCGCCTCTTTTATACAATTTTCCGATTATTCCGATACAACTTGAATGCATCGTCAACCGCGACAGGTACATCTCAAATCAGGTGACGACGTTTTTACGTATTACGTGATGAGGTCACAGATAGCCGTTGATTTAAATGTCCAACAGAACCGCTAACGTAACTTTGGTGAGTGAAGTGTAGTTAAGAAAAGTTAACGGTAATAGCAGGCGTGAAAAATTAAAACGACTTGTAAGGTAAGCTCCAGCCATGGATGTATCAAAAATGACGCATACAGTAATGTCGTTGGTCACTTAGCCTAACTCATAACTTGTTTAGTACTATCATGTCTGGACGTTGGCAATGTTACAAAAAAATCCTCAAGCTTCAGATACGCCCACCTCCAAGATTTTTTTAACGCTGCTGTGTAGACGTACCGTTACACCAGTTGTCTGTTAAGCTAGCTTCATTTAACAGCCCTGAAATTAAAAGGGTTTTAAAGAGTGTTTGGTTGAACTTGATGTTTAAGGCTCCTAGTATATTTCCAGCTACCTTGAATGATGTATTGGAAGTGAACAGAAAGATTATTAGACTGTTATACCTATTTTTGGTTTGGCAGTTATGGGGACAGTCGTTAAAAGTCATTAAATTCTCATTTACTGTTGCTAAGATGTTTACCTGTCATGTTTACCTGTCATCTGGTGGCGAAGTTTTCTCCATATAGCACAGTTTAATGCCAATGATAGGGGCTCCGCTTACAAGCAAAGCCATGCACAACTGTTCACAACTAATAAGGCCTATTTAAAGCTAAATTGTACATCTTATTGGTTTAACTTTACCAGTATCCTATGCAAATACTTGTTAGGTCAGTATGTGCTTAATGTGCTAAGTGTTGCCATTGAGCAGTCTGTCATGACACATAGGATGCATATAATGAATGGCACTGTCGTCATGACTTCACACACGTTAGACCTGTAAGCCAATTACATTTACCAAACCTTTCCATAATAATTGAAGACACAATTTACTTAACACACCCACTCCTCGCCTAAATGCGCACAAAAAAATCAACACAAACCTTTCTGTTTTTGTTTGTTTCTCTACTGCTCTCCCAGTGTAAGCTGTTTAGGATACAGCACTAACTGGAGGGGCACCAAAGCAAAGGTCACAGTTCCTGACATTGATGTGTCAGCATGACACCAGGCCTGAAATACAGGCCGGCGCTCTCTCTCTCTCTCACTCTCTCCCTCTCTCTCCCTCTCTCTCTCTCTCTCTGTAACCCCTCCCTCGCTCCCAGCTGTTGCCGGATAATCTTCCCATTTTTCTTTTGATCAAACTCTTTTTCCATTTTTGTATGTCTTACATATAAGCCATCTGGGAGAGGCTTGGTTGCCAAAAGAGATTCATTTTGGTGTCAAATTTAGAAGACAGTTGGGAGTTCCCTTTAAGTCACACTAAATGTGACCCCGCAAGCAAACACATAAACTAACACTGACAACTGCAAAAGACACAGGATAGCCTGCATGTCTTGCACTGGATAAACTGCAGTGGGCGGCACATTAGTTGGCACAATCCTTGCTGTTTCTGTGAGAAGTTTAAATATTGTTTGTCAAATAAAATGACAGTCAAATCTGTTTGAATAGACCCACTAAGTTAGGGCCGGCCATATGGCCGAAATCTCTTCTCCAAAAATGAGTTGTTTAATATCTCCATAACGAAGTTTATAAAGATAACGTTTTTTTTTTACTCAATAACTCAATAATAAAAAGTCTTTATAGAAAAAAGAAACACAAAGTATAATAATGGCATACTTAAGATATAGTTTGTGAGAATAGAAGGTTTGTTTATAACCCCTTATAACCAATGTGATAATGACAACATTTAGGTCTGGGACTTTGTGAGTAAATGTCCATACATTCTTTTAATAAGAATTTTTGATACAGAGATTATTTGGATCTCACTGCTTATGGTACCTCTTTTTTCTCCTGCTGCTAGAAGTTGATTAAAAGGGTAAGTAGAATTTTCTTTTTTATCTCCTGACGTGGAGAAAAAAAATATTTCTTTCCTCTTTTCTTTTTATTAACCCAACATTTACTTTCTATTGTGATACAATTCATCACAATTATTCTTGTTTGTCACAAGAATGGGCAAGCTGTCTGATGAGTGTTTGTGTTTGATTGTTTGTGTGTTTTCCTCCCTCTTTCTTTGTCTGTTTCCTGCTTGCACTTGGTATGAATGTCCAAAGTGGAAGATACTTTTTTAACTGCAGCTTACAGGAGGAAACTCTTAACTTGATATCTGACGTACAGATGAAATGGGGTTACTAACGTGGACTAAAGATGCGATAAGTCAAACCTGATAGGGTCCAGAGGAGAAGGATGCTAGAATAAGAGAATAATCTATTTCCTATGTATTTCCTGCAGGCGGGTCAGGGGGGTGGACACCGGACCTTGCTCTACGGTCATGCCATCCTACTTCGCCACTCCTTCAGTGATATGGTAAGTATCAAAAACACAATTTAACACAAGAGTTACTGAAAACAAATGCTAGTGACGCCTGCTGAAGTAAGAAATACACAAATATGTAATCTACAGTTCATTTATACTTGCGACTCGCGCCATAATCGTGAATTGCAATTTAAAAAAACAATCATGATAGGCTGATCGTGGTAAATTTCCATTTTCGTGAATATTCCAATTCTTGAAAAAGCTGTTTAACCTGATTTTTTATTTATTTTTTAAAACATGATCACTAGACTGTGAGCTTGCTTTTTACATTTCTGCACAGATTTGAGTTTGTGACGTTGATTGTCTACATAACCACCTCTTCAGCTAAGTCTGATAATGGGTTTTAAGTCCTAAACTATTTACTTTTGATAAAAAAAGAAATAATTTAAGGTATAGAAAAAGCTGTCTACCAATCTGGGCTCGTAATAAAGTGTCCTTTGACCCAACACTAACTGATTTCTCACTCCTTAGTACCTGACCTGTTTGAAAACATCGAGGTCTCTGACAGACAAGCTGTCATTTGATGTCGGCTTACAAGAAGATTCGATAGGTACAGTATGACTAACAGGCACTTTACACAGTCCACTTGCAGTTATTTTCTTTTTTACAGCTTTTTTTTTATAGATTTCTGTCGTAAGCAAGTAACCTCTAGATGGAATTTAAACCCATGGGAGAAATACTGTAAAACAAAGTTAAAGTGCTACATTTGACATCTGAACTACATGTATTCTTAAAGCCATTTTCCAGCAGAACCAATCTGCTGATCCAGTGTTCCTCAGATGACGGCTGTTTTATGCTGTTTTTTCAGTCAGAAAAGACAGGCACTTTCACAAAAGAGAACGAGTAGCCATTTCTAAAATAATAAGTATATGAATGTGTTGGAAAATACACCTGCTCAATTGTATGTATCTTGTCTAATTGACGATAAATATATATATGAATAAAGTTGTTATATTTATGCTAACAGGAGAGGCCTGCTGGTGGACCATCCACCCTGCGTCCAAGCAGAGATCCGAGGGAGAGAAGGTCCGCATCGGAGACGACCTGATCCTAGTCAGCGTGTCCACAGAGAGATACCTGGTAGGTCCAATATCTCAACAATTTATTTTTTCACGCTTACCTGCAACTGGGAGAAAATGAAAAGCTTAAAATAACATTTGTTGTTTGTATCACAAGAAAAAACGAACCATAGAGGTTAAGCAACGAAGACACTCAAGCTGATTTCTTGGTTTGATGATATTTGCTGTCAATTAATAACTTCAAATATATAAAATAAAACAAAATAAACTTTCATTTACTTCCATAATTGTAGCAGTACTTCGTGTCATACATATCTTAAAATATCTTTAACAAAATAAAAACATGCAATTTTTAATTATTGAAGATTTCAGAAAAAGTTGCTAATGCTGTTTGTTGGTCAATTCAACAGACAGCTACTGGATTTTTCTACTACTAATTGCTTTCAATATAATATGTATTTTCCAACACAGTGTATAGATACCAACACAAACTTCAGTGCAGTGTTTAAAGGGGACCTATCATGCAAAATGCACTTTTTGATGTCTTTTATACATAAATATGTGTCCCCGGTGTGTCGGGGAACTCACGCAGAGTCAGAAAATAAAACCCTCTCTCTTTTCCTCCGTACCCAAATCTCTAAAAACTGGGCTACAACGGAGCTGATCCAGATTTGCGTCCGATATGACGTAATATCGGAAATGTAGGCTGGCTTTACACCCACGGCACTATCAGAAACGTTGCTATCAGAAACAATGCCCGACTGTTTTGGACGTAATATGGTCGGTGTTTACATTAGCATCGCTAACACTCAGAGCTAACCTGTACTGGAGAGCATGTGTGTGAAGAAGCAGGAAATAAAAAGGAACTCACCTTGTGGTATAACCGGCAAGAGAGAAAGCCTTTGAGCTCCATACTGTTTCAGAAATAATCCTTGATAATCCATGATATGGCGTTTCATCACCGCAGTATTTAGTTTAGACAGTAGCTGCCGGGTCCCGCATGAGCTCAGCCCCCTCCTTTTTTATTTTATCGATTATTTTTCTTTTTAAAGCTTTAGACCCCAAATCAGCACTTTTGAAACAGGAAGTGAAATAGAGGGATATGAGGCATGGCTAGAATGGGTGATCTGTTTGGTATTTTGAGCAAAACACTTCATAGACATGTTTTTTATATATTTATATATATCTGAGACCTATGCTATTGCCTAAAAATAGCATGATAGGTGACCTTTAACTTGTAGCTTGCTTTTCCAAAGTGTAATTAACCAAATTGGTGAAAACAGTTCAGATGAGACATTCCGGTCAGTTTTTTTAATTAAGATGCCATGAACCAAAGCATTCCCACTAGTAAGATGCAGCCTTATAATTGACCTTTATCAACAGCATCATCTGTTTTAAACTCGCCATCCCACACTTGAAAGAAGATGCTGTTTTTAAAGATGAAGGGTTAATTGCAGTTCGAGCAACTCTCATTAAATCAGCAGGCCTCTACTCCGTTTCTCATTACCAGATAAGAGGTTTCAGGCTCATGAATATTTAAAGTTTTTCAGACAGTCTGGATGCATCAAATATAGCCTCTATCAGCTCTCATCTAACTTTTGTCTGGTTTGTTTGTCAGGTCTCACAAAGTTCAGATTGTCTTTGCTGTTGTTGTTTTTTTTGTGCGTCTTCAGTTCCTTGCCAAGCGTTTTGATGTCAGACGGAATTTTCTGCCTCTACACTTGCAAGAGTTTAGATGCAGACATTGCTTCTAGTGTAGAGAACAGTGGTTGTGTTTTTTGCAGATGATGCGCCTCACATAGCTGCAGTTATCTTCTTTGGTTCACTGTCTGTCTCGAAAAGGCATTTTAGAAAGTTTCATAGCCGTCGGATAGCTCTGATACTCGTCTCACTCCAGGCCTCTTCAGAGTGGCAGGGCAATTCAAGCGGAAATCTTAAAAAACTTGCCACTGCTGTCTGTACCTGTAAAGCCCTCTTGTGCAACTTCCTTTGAAAAATAACTTAATTTTCAGGAAATGCACCCATCTGAGTGATCTGCTGAGAGTTAATGCTGTCTCCCTCATGCAGCGCTTCACACCCGACCTCAATTAACTCGCTTAAGAGAGAGGACAGGGAGAGGCAGAGAGGGAAATGGAAAGAAGGAGGGACAGCGACGTGCCACGCATAGGAGAGAGCAGCACTGGCCCTTCATGGCGGAAAATGTCCAATTAAAGCAAAACTTGCAAAGCGCCATACTTTTATCTCCCCCGATGGAAACCCCTACACCGGTTTCTACTCACAGAAGCTCAGATTTTGAAGAATGGGACACATCAGAAATTCAGGCAAAAGTAATCAGTGCTCCATCACTGTTAATAGTCTTGGAGGTTGGGACACAACCTTTATTCCTCTGCCTTTGTGTGCACTCAAGGCCGCACTGAAATATATGGAATACTGTACAGATTTAAAATAGATGGAATAATTTTCAGGGGAATTAAACGTGATTTAAGACACTTATAGGTTTTTGCCAATTAACACTTCAGCACTTGTGAGAATAAATCTGAAGGATCTTATTGAGCTATCACTCGCCTCTGAATCCTGGGGAAATGGGAGCGGCTCCAAGTGTTTCTGCTGGAAGGAGTTGTTGCAGAGTATTATCTGGACATTGCTTTGTTGAGAAACACTGATGCAGCAGTGGTTTGAGCCCACAGCGTTATAACACGGTTTGGTATCTACAGAGAGAGGGCATAAAGTTGTTTTCATCTTTTTTCAAATCCCCACACTGGGACATCTCCCTGCTTTGTGCAGTATGGCTGTTGTGTAATAGAAGCTTCGAACGAAGAACGCGGAGGCGTGCGGCGCTAGTGCGTTGGTGTTGGGATCAGGGGGTCACAGGTTCAAACACCACTGCAGTCAGCATGTCGTTGTGTCCCTGGGCAAGACACTTCACCCCAAATTGCTCCTGTGGGGATTGGCCACAGTATTGAGTATGTAAGTCGCTTTGGATAAAAACGTCTAACAAGTGACATGTAATGTAATGTAATGTAAAAGAACCAAGCGAGTCTTGTCCAAACTGAACATGTTTACTTTATATTAATTGAACAGTTTCCAACAAGAACGGTGGAAGACGGAGAAAATGCACTCGACAATACTCCTATTCATTTCAAAATCATAACAGGAAGAAGCAAGAGCAGGACACATACTTGCACTTCAAAATAAAAGCATTTCCTGTGAAACATTTTAACCTTAACTTCTGTCAAGAAGCAAATAAACAAATGTTTTTTACTGCCTTAAATAAAATAAGTTGCAACAATGGCTGAATCTCACGGTTTGTCCATGTTACCATCTTGCTAAAACAACTTCTTTACCGGCACTCTCCACTCATCAGCGCTGAATGACACGCTTCTCTCTTGCAGCACCTCTCTAACGCCAATGGACACGCCCAGGTGGACGCGTCCTTCATGCAGACCCTGTGGAACGTCCAGCCCACCTGCTCTTCAGGCAACGTGGCTGTAGGCAAGTTCACCACCTCAGAAACAATAGCACTATCAGTAGGGCTGTGCAATTAATCGTATTTTAATCGCAATTACGATTTTGGCCTGCCACAATTACGAAAACAACATAATCGAAAAAAGCGATTATTTTGCTTTGCTTGGTTGTGACAGTGCACTGCAACATATTTGATCAAATGTATTTGTATTTATCATATTTATATATGTTTAGTAGCTTGTTGAAGTGCGCTCCAAAATATTTGTTGATCTTGTTTATTGGTATTTATTATTTTGATATTATTTATTTAAATGTAAATATAAATGTATCATTTATTTTAGTATTGGTTTTTCAGTTGAATTATACGCTCAGGGAAATCAACAGTTAAAAAGATACTGTTCAAATTATTATTTGTATTTAAAAGTTCAATAAATGGATGTTTTCAAAGTCATGAATAATCGTATTTAATAATCGTGATATCAATTATTGACCAAAATAATCGTGATTATGATTTTTGCCATAATCGCACAGCCCTAACTATCAGTATAAGACAGTTAAATATAGTTTTAATATTGTTTTCGGATTATGACTTATGTGTCTATTAAATGTCTGGATAAGTTGAGCTTGTAAGCAATAAGGAAAACCCCATACAGACATGGTTAAGAGAATAACTGCATGATCAAAGAGTATTGACTGTTTTGTATTACAATGTTGTTTTTGTTGTTATTATTAGGTTATTTGACTGGTGGACATGTGATGCGTCTTTGTCATGGGCATGATGAGAGCCTGTCCATCCCTGGAGCAAACAAGAGTGAGGAGGAGCAGAGGTTGGTAGATATTAGGCTCACTAATTTAACTCAATTTGGTCAATCCACAAGTCCAGTTAGTCGATATCAACTGTAAAACATTTAAAACTAACAATTGAAAAAGTATTTTCTTTGTATGATCAATAAAACTGTTCTAAAACTCCCGTTCTGCAATAATTACTGAGCTCAACTGTTTAATAAAACTACTTGTAGAAATTGTTAGTGGATGTTTATAGTAGTGTGAAAAGAAGCAATGGTATTATTATGCAGCTTCAAAAAATCCATTAGGTTTGAACAATCTTTCCACACCTTCACTCTAGGTAAAAAAAAAATGTAATCCTACTTTTTGTGTTTGTAAATTCATCTCATGTCCCTTTGTAGTCCTTGTATGGGTTAATTATGTACACGAATTGAGCATAGTAAGCAGACACGGGTCGTTCCTGAAACAAAAGCACTTTAATATCCTTGATTTTCTGCCATCTTAAGGGATGTTGCTTCGCAGCTGACCTCTTTGCATTACCTTCCAGAATCAGTATAACAAAAAAGGAGAATAATGTCTTTGTATCACGCAGAAAGATAAACCACAAACAATGAGAAATGTCAAGTATGGACACATCCTTTGTACAACTTATTTAAGATACACTGACACGAATATACCCAACATCACGGGTATATTCCCTGTGTGTATCTGTAGCAGTAGCAGGGAAGGGAAAGTCCTCACAATATTTGATTCCCTGTGTGCCTTGAAAACCTCGTAAATAATAGAAACTCCTTCTCATGTCCTTGTGCTCTCAGGATAGTCAACTATGAAGCGGGGAAGGGAGCGTCAAGAGCTCGCTCTCTTTGGAGACTGGAGCCTCTCAGGATCAGGTAATACACACAGTGAAGAAAATGAGCTCGGAATATAACACAAAGCTCTGACATATTTCTCTCAGAAATGCCTGGAGGAGTTGTCTTATTTGATGTGATCCCTTCATGAAGAATAAATAGAATCACTGCTTTATGTGCAAATGTCACAGCTTCTCTTGCGTGGTATACATCAAATCCACCTCCCTCTACTTTGAACTGTCACTACTAATTAGTTGGCAAAGCCCTTTAGAAGGTGCGGCTCTGTTTACCATCCCTTTCAATCTACACCTCTTCACCCTCCCTCTTCTTCCTCTCTGTAACTGGCCACCCACGCTGTTTTCCCTCCAGTCACATCTCCTGCCTGTCAGAGTGTGTTCACTTTGAAACGGTGCAGGTGCATCCATTAGGGCACATGTTCTCCTTTTCGGCTTAGAGAGGATTTGTTATCAGTGTTTTCTACACTTGCACTTACCATATATAGAGAACGTTTGAGCTTGACTGACAGTAAACAAATATATACGTTATCTATTTCTTAAGTTGACGTGTTTATTCCACTTGCATATTGGTTTTTACAAAGTTGTCAAACAATTTTAATTGGGTGATTTAATCTACCGCACAGTCTAGGCCAGGGGTGTCAAACTCAATTTCATCCCGGGCCACATCAGTATTATGGTTGCACTCAAAGGGCCGGTTGTGACTTTAAGACTATATAAATATATCATATATATAAAATAATGTATTATAATACATAATTGCCTCTGCATTGGATTATTATCGGATAGGGTAATAACTTCATAATTAACTACGTCTGAAAGCAGAAGTCTAGGGCAAATAATTGCAAGTCTCTTCAGTGCGCATGTCACAAAACAAGATGCGTTGTGGGACATGTAGTTTATGGGCAACGTGCCTCTGTAAAGTGGCATGTAACCATATAATAAACGTATTGTATTCTTTGCATGCTCTTGCGGGCCACATTAAATGAAGTTGCAGGCCTTGAGTTTGACACCCCTGGTCTAGGCTATATAGAATAAGTTATTCCTGTCAACATGTAAATAAAAACATGTCAGTGGTGTCTTTTATCATGAATTCACAAAGTCAGGATTTATGATTTTGTAAGTTCAACAAGCTAAGGTGAAGCCTTAATGGCTTTTTGACCCTATAACTCTCTGGAGTTCTTGGAATAGTTTGGATAACTCAAGTCAGACGCATCTATCTCTGGAATATAATTCTACAAATAACAAATACTACTTTCATATAATACTATACTATAACCCTAATTATAATATTATAGCCTTATCCTAATCTGTAACTGTGCAGAAATACTAGCTTTGAACATGGTAAATTGACATGGAAAAGCTTCACAGTTTTCACAACAGCCCTACAATCCAGTGTTGTATCCAAAGTGCGTGACCCCAGTTCTCTGTGTTCAGCTGGAGCGGCAGCCACATCCGCTTCGGTCAGGCCTTCAGGCTCCGCCACCTCGCGACCGGTCATTACCTGGCCATGACGGAGGACCCCGGACTGGTCCTGCAGGACAGGGAGAGGTCCGACACCACGGCCACTTCCTTCTGCTTCAGGCCCTCCAAGGTCAGTGGCTCATATAGACATAATGAATCATTCTCTTATCACAAGTATAGCTCTGATGTGCCTTTTTGAGTCAGGCAGCTACGCCATCTGAAAGCTGCCCTGGTGTTGATTTAAATAAATGTTTTTTGTCAACTAACCTCATTAAAAAGAGGACTCCAAATATCTCCTCCTCTGTCTGCTTCATCAAAGGCTCCCGAGACGGGTCTGTAAGCTCTTAATGAGCTCATGGCCACAGTAAATTGACCTTTTCACAGCTGCTGAGTAGACAGCACTGTTAACGTTCATGCTGTTGACTGACCTAAAAGCAACTGGCTGGGATGCAGCTATCTTCAATTATGGAGTTAATAGGAATCTATCATCCCCCAATACAGTAATAAGATGCTCTTTTATGCATTAGGGGATTTCAAAATACCTACTTTACATTCTATGATTTGCTTTCCCTTGTTAATTTATCTCAATTAGCCAGCCTTTGTATTTATTGCACTCTCTGTTTTGAACTCTCTGAGGCATTTGCATTTCTCTGCTTTTAATAGAATGTGTTCTAAAAATAGTCTCACTGACAAAAAAAGAAAACGTGTGAAAGGAAGCAGATGGCTTACTTGAAATTCAAATGTGTGTTTTAGTGATTTTTCAGTGAGGTGGTTATGATGTTGTTTAGATTAAGCAGTTAAAAACAGGAGTCTCACTTTTTGTTGTTATTTCTTCCTGTCTCATTTTCGTCAAGTGATTTTGATTCCTTCTCTTGTTTTAAAGCTTAACAATGCAATTAGGTAAACTGTGTATTCTTTCAAAAATAAGAGCTGATCACTGTAGATGCCAATACAATAAACACATGTCTTCAGTAGCCTGTGTAGAATCAGAATCAGAATCAGAATCAGAATCAGGTTTATTGCCAGGTAGGTTCACACATACGAGGAATTTGACTTGGTGTCATGGTGCAGACATAAGATATAAAACAAGAAATCTTTAAGGACACCGTAATAAAATATAGTTAAATAGCAATAAAATAAAGCAGTAATTTACATGGAAATAGAATGCTATGAATGAATTATAGGATATGAAATATGAAACAAGAAATATGTGCAGTAAGCAGTATGAACATTGTGTGCATTAATGTAATGCATATAGAGACTACGTTGTGGCTGAGGTAAGTGTCAGTGGGGGGGGGGCCGGGCCTTGTTTAATAGGCCGGTAGCGGAGGGGAAGAAACTGTTCAGGTGGCGAGAGGTTTTGGTCCTGATGGAGCGCAGCCTCCTGCCAGAGGGGAGGGGGGTGAACAGTTTGTGTCCAGGGTGGGAGGGGTCGGCCTCTATCTTCCCTGCCCGCAGAAAGGGCTGCAGCCACGTAAACGGTTCAATGCCATGAGTCACCTTCACAGAGGACCATTGTGTCCCTGCAGAGATCCTTTTATCTGCAAAAGGTTCAATATGGAATCCGCCCGAGTGCTGTCCACTTTGGAGGCTTTCATTTGCCCTCAGTAATGACTCTTTCCTGCAGGCAATTTTGGAATAAGGAGGATTCATGCTTCTTTTAAAAATATATATGGATATAAACTCTCTTATTTCTCCACTTCTTCTACCTTTCACTCTGCCTAAAAAAGGGCACTGGTCTGCAATGTTGAACACTGGCATTAATATGTTCCCCGCTACTTGCTGTCGTTTTCAATCAGCCGCATCGCTCCATCTCTGCTGAGCGGAAATGTAGCAGAGCTAATGATGCCGCAGCAATCTGCTGGCAGGCCAATGAAACCTGTCTCTCAACCTGCCTCTGTGATTAGCTTCTAATCTCAATATATCTCAATTTGTCATATTTACATGCCCGTGTGTAACGTGCGTGTGTTTGGTAATGTGTACAGGAAAAAGGCGAGGTGGGCCCAAAGAGAGACATCGATGGCATGGGGGTGCCGGAGATCAAGTACGGAGACTCTATGTGCTTCGTCATGCACGTAGCGACGGGACTGTGGCTGTCCTACCTGGCGCCTGATGCCAAATCATCTCGTCTGGGACCCCTGAAAAGAAGGGTAAACAGGAAAACATTACATTACACATCGCAGATAATCTGGATCTTATATTTTACTGAATTATTCCCATGAAAAAGACCATTCAACCATTTTAAGAAATGCTGTTTTAAATGTAGGACTGTTAATGTAAAAGGTGTATATGTCTGTGTGGTTATTAAGATGAAAGCACATTCCTGTAGAAAAGGGTCTTGTGTTTTTCTGCTCATATAGTTCGCTGTTTAACGGTTGATCAATTTAATATTTACATTACATCTTACATTACATGTCATTTTGTTAGACGCTTTTATCCAAAGCGACTTACATACATTCAGTACTGTGGACAATCCCCACAGGAGCAATTTGGGGTGAAGTGTCTTGCCCAGGGACACAACGACATGCTGACTGCAGTGGGTCTCGAACTTGGTACCCCCTGATTCGAAGTCCAGCACTCTATTCACTGAGCCACAGCCGCCCTATTTACTATCAATAAGCTGCCTTTGTTGTGCAGTTATCTACATTCACTGCTCATAGTTTATGAATAACCAACAAGGGTTTGGCTATAACTCCACAGTAACGCTACATTGACTTTTAGTGGGATTGTTTAGTGATAAAATGTTCCTATCAAAATGAAGCACCGTCTAGTTTCAGAATTTAAGGATGAATAAGTTAAACATTTCAGAGATAAAACAATCCAACTTCCCTCAGTCATTATGTAAAGCATGCTACTTTAATTTCACGTTAATCAGTTTGTAGTGTAGTGATGTGTATTATAACTATCGGAAAAATACTAGTTTAATAGCAGTATAGAAACACGTTGCAGGCTTAACATACTTATAGAGTGCAAGTGGCTGGTGCATAATTATAAACCAATTATTGCACTGTTGCATAGTGATACAAATAACTGTATATATGGTATTTGGCGTCTGTCTACCTATGTGTTTACAGTGAGATCCTGAATGCCTGCCATAGCTCGCCTGCAGCACCTCGGAGCACCGTGTGCACAGTAGCAAATCACACCTTATCAAACCGCTGGGTCGTAAGGCTATTTAAACTCCCGGGCAAATATTTATTTTCTACTCTATTTAAAGTCATTGTCTGCCCTGGATACTCTTGACTCAACCCCTCTCCCCTCACACTCACCCATTATGTGCAACCCATTTTAAAAAGTGATAATGTGCCGTGCTGAGGTAACTGTTGCTTTTGGACGAGACCTGGGGGGGGATTAGTGAGGTGCATGAACGCTGCTCATTGGTGGCAGCGCCTCCTGGGACATCAACCGCCTCCTCATGCCGGTGCCAGGGAGTCCCTGCAGTTTGGCAGGAGACCAATGCACCTGATCTGTAGGAGGTGATGGTCAGCCTATACTTTAGACCCCCAAACCTAACCCCTCTTCTTAATTATGCTGCTTAATTACAGTGAGTCAGGTTTCCCTGAGCAGTAGTGATATAAACCCAACCTGTTTCAGGAGACTCTCCCTTCATGCATTACATACTTAAAGAGGGAGTCAGCATTCTGGAAAAGATTGTTGATATTTGAACTCAACACCGTATTGAGTTCAGTTTTATAGCATTCCTGCTGGTCCTCAACAAGTTATAAAAAGCATGGAATTCTATTTGAAGGCCTAAATAAATATGATCAATTTATTGCAGATGTCTCAAATCCATCTTTTACAAGTCTTAAATATTTTCCACATCAAAAGTAGGATGTGATTAATCACGCTTTCTAACATTACCATTCAGAATCTCAAAAAAAATTAGCATAAATATTGAACTATTTACCAAATGTCTTTCGCATTAACGTCACCCAGAGAAGGTTGGCGGAACAAACTATGCAGCTACATTTTGATTGCATGCTTAATGCAAATGTACTTGGTTTGTTTTCCATTTCTCATAGCTGTTCAAACACCCATGCTTTAGTAACAAAATATGAAGTATGTGAGTTGAAAAGACATTTACTGATGCCTGGGTGTTTCATTGCCTTATAAATGTGATGGTGTTGGTCCTCTTGTAAGGAGGAAATGCTTATCTGTGTGTGTTTGTGTTTGCCCAGGCCTGCCTGCACTCTGAGGGCCACATGGACGACGGGCTCATTCTGCAGCGCTGTCAGCATGAGGAGTCTCGCGCTGCTCGCATCATCCGCAACAGCACATTCCTCTTCGCCAACTTTATCAAGTAATGGCTTCATCACAAACCCTTCCATCTCTGTCACACAGCACGACAAAAGAAAGGCACACCATGTTGATTCTTGCTGGATTTATTTCAAGATGTACTGCTTATTTCTTGTTCTTTCGTCCATCCTGTGTTTTTCCTCCAGGGCTTTGGACAGCATTGCGGAGGGCGAGTCCAAGGCGGTTGCGGGATATGTTGAAGAGGTGCTGCAGACGCTCAACGACCTGATCGAGTATTTCAAACAGCCCGATTCAGAGCTGGAGCACGAGGAGAAGCAGTGTCTCCTCCGTTCACTCATCAAACGCCAAGACCTCTTCAAAGATGAGGTGAGAGTGGAAGATGTGGAGACTCCAACTTCTTAATAAGAAGCTCTAACAAAATGCTGATTGTGCTGATAACTCCTTGGTAAACCAAATGATACATATTTAATCTAAATGGGTGTATTCGTTAGATCTATCGAGATGACATTTAAGACAATATATATTCTTGTGTGTCAGATATTTCGAATGAATGCTGTTAAGTGTAAACATACATAGCAATAAACTTGATTCGGGTCTGCTTCTGATTCTAAACAGTATAACACACTGCAGTTTTTATATATTCTCATATATTCATTGTGTTAAGTTTTTAGTTTTTTTGTTTCTTTTTGAATATTTAAGCTGGTGTACATACTTGTCTTTATTCTTTTGTTTTATGCTAAATCGTTTTTTTAGATATATATTTTTATATATTGTTGACCTTCTCTTGCATCTTATTTTCTTATGTTTATGTTTCCACCATCATACACCAAAGAAAATTCCTTGTATGCAGCGTTTCCGCCAGGGGGGCGTCTTGCCGTAATTTGACGCCCTTATTCGATGAACTCGAGTCGAGGGCGTCCAAAAAAATTAATGATTAGAGAGAAGATTGAGAGTTTTTATCGCTTGAAATGACGAAAAGGAAAAAGGACAAGGACATCCCTCTGTTGGAGGGGCAAAGGAGTCTGGTGGGATTATTTTCGCCGCCAGCAAAGCGTGTTTCCTGTGACGAAAAGTGTACTGCCGGCGAGCCTTGACGGGCGAAACTGAGGCTCCGTGGTAAACTGTGTTAAAATGAAGAGCCGTTTGAGAGCCGAAGAGCCGGCTCTTCTTAGTGAGCCGAGCCAAATGATCCGGCTCACTAAAAAGAGCCGGAATTCCCATCACTAATACGTAAAGAGATAGTATCTATAAGGGACAGCTCAATTCAAAATTCAAGTCACGTGACACGACGTGACGTCACACAACCTCCCCCCCGCTCTCGGGGTGGACGCCCTCTCAGCCCTGGTCTGGCGGAAACACTGCTTGTATGTGTGAATGTACTTGGCAATGAACTTGATTCTGATTAAAAATTCAGTTAACCCCATTGAGTTAAGTCTAAGAAATAGTATTCAACGTCTTCTTACAAATAGGAATATACTATGAATAATTTGAATCACAAATTAATCATGCCATCATTCCTGGATTTCTTTCATTTTAGGGCATGCTGTCCCTCCTGTCTAAATGCATTGACCGGATGAACCTGTACAACAGCGCTGCCCACTTTGCAGAGGTGGCTGGGGAGAAGGCCGGCACAGCGTGGAAGGACATCCTCAACCTCCTCTATGAACTCCTGGGTAAGCCTGCTGAGTGATCAATCTCATGAAATATCCACATCTTCTGACAGCTGACGACCCTGGGCAGAGATGCAGTATTAATCTTCCCTCAGTGTCTTCACCGAATCCTCCCCTTCTCCTTCACACTTCACACTTCTTATCACGCCTGTGTTCGCATTTCTTTTTGCCCGTGTCACATCTGTAGTTCACAGCTGGTGACATTCATATGTAACTATTTGGGACAAGGGAATGGAGGGAAAAGTAAAAGCCTCTTGTATACTTCTTTGATCATTTAGGCTGCTTTTCATTTAGGTCACATTGTTCTCTGAGATCAGTCTGGGGGTGCATTATTAAACGTTGAGCTGCATATCTGAAAAAAATGATGGCATCATTAACAAAATGCCCGCCTTCAGAGGTGCTGGCATTATCCCCTGAATTGACCCTGAGAAAGTTTTATTTTGAAAACTTTATTGTTTGTTTTGCTGTCATTGGAGCTTTCACATCAACAGCTTCCCCTCGGCTCACCTTGACTGCCCTTATATTCATCACCTCCCCAGCATGTACTCTCACATGCACACACAGTAAACACACAAGCTAAAAAACCCACAAATACACTCCTCTGAGTGCTCTCCAGCCCTTTCCTGCGGAGGGGTCACCCCCAAGGATGCGGAGGCAGTCTGGTGAAGCAGGTTTTGCATGATGAATGATGTTTTCCCTGACCTTTTTCTCCTTTCCATTCTAACTCTGAAACTCTGCTTTAAAGGAATACACACACAGCTTTTTAATGCATGTCAAAAAGCAGTTGGTAATTTATAGTTGGTAAATAACTCCACTCATATTAGCTGCCACTCTGCTTGACAATAGTGCATGAGACAGGTAAACTGTGAAAAATAAATCATGTTTTCCCTCCAGTGCTGCCATGTTTTTTTGCAAGATTCCATTGAGCATGAATAACGAAAACAACCAATAATAGCTTGTGGAGTCTAACACGGTGTCAATCACTGCTAAACACTGATCAAACTGTCAAACTAAATTCTGTTCCTGTTTTGTAAAATGAAAGAGTTTGTGGCAAGGGCACCACATAGGAAAGAGTGGAGCCAAAACCATGCACTAGTATAGTCAAAGTAGGAAATGTTCTAGAGGTGAGAAATAGACAATGCAGTAACGGCATCTTAACCAAAATAAGATATCAGTGTTTCCCACAGAATTTGATTCTATTTGTGGGGGCACCGTCACCGCACCACCGGCAAGAAAAGCCAAAGGCCCCTTAACCTATTCGGGTGGCCCAAGCATCCACCCCCCCCTCAAATAAGAAAATACATGCGAGTTCATGGCTACTGTAGCAGACAACGTTCTTGTTGCTCTGTGTTGCGTTGTTAATGAGTGAGACACACCGGAGTTGAGGATCTGTGGGGTTTATTCTCCCAAAAATATAATTTACAATTTAGCAGACGCCTTATTCTAAAGCGACTTATAACTACCAATAACAGGGACATTCTCCCCGGAGTAACTGAGGGCTATGTGGCTTACTCAAGGGCACTCTAGTGGTGGTGTTCCAGGCGGGATTTGAACCCGCAACCTTCCGATCATCAGCCCACCTCACTATCCATTAGACCACCAATGGTGAAATATTTTTTGTGGCGGACAATATTTTACCGCCACAAATGAATCAATGTATGGGAAACACTGGATTTCACAATCAGTAAATGACACTGTGGGTGTTTCTCAATCGCGAGTACGCTTGCTTGGTAGCACATGTCTGCCGAGCATCTTGCTTCAGAAGCGAGTCAAGAATACTTCCTGACATTTGGAAAACAAAGAGTGGAACAGGCTAGCAAGTGTGTAGGTGTGCGTCATATGAGAGGCCCCGCCTTACATTTTCCGCCACAGATTTTGGAAATTGGTCCGTGCGCAAAGCATTGTGGGGATTTTAAGACCGCGGAGTCTACTCATGTGCAGCCTCGATATTTCTCCAAACGGAGTATGCCGGGCTCGGTAGATTTCCAAGTATGCTGGAGATTGGAACAGTACTTCGGCGGCACTCGATGACGTAGTATGCTTGAAATAGTGGCTCTGCAGCAGCTTTACTCGCGATTGAGAAACACCCACAGTTAGAGACTCCTCCGCTGTGATTGGTGGTTTGGATTTGCACAGCAGAATCTTGCAAATGCTTTCAGGAGCAATGGTGGGAGAGGAAGAAACATGCCAGAAGACTCTTGTATCACATACTTTATGCATGCTGATTATTTGAGTAAACTTTGACAAAGGATTTCTTTCAATAAGAGAATGGTTGTATACCATGCCAGGATATGCTCTTCACTACTTTTAGCACATGTGAAAAAACTCATTACAGTTGCATCCGTTTTTTGCCAAGTCTTATGAATGAGATGTTGCTGTCTGCTTCAGGTAAACCAATAAAAAAAGTATATTATGGTCTTCATTAAACCTTACCACCTTTGATGCATAATGAGCAGTCATCAGAGTGAGCAGTTACTATATTTGTCCTTGCAAAGTGCCTTGTACTTCTAAGAGATCCCAACCTCTATATCTCATTGTGCATTATGAGGCTTTATAGGAGCTGTACGTCACTGCAGCAAGGTCAGGCGATATCCACTGGAGGACAGAAACTAAGATTTTCAGGTGTCACGATACAAGTATGCATTAAAGTACATTGTGTAGCTATGTATAATGAATGAATAGCAGATAATGGAAGTCTTTAAAACACTTAATCTCGTAGCTTAAGATGCCCGCACACTGACACAAATCATCGAGGATGCTGCAAAACGTGATAAAAGATCTTAATGAGATGGGACTGTTGATCATGGATTCAAAACACAAACCCTTTCACAATTGTGATTCTCCTCATTGCAATGTTGCCAAGTTTATTATAACTAAAGTATCCTACTTCATCAATGGTAATTTAGTGGTGGCTTTTTGTATCCCTTTTATATCATTTATGCTAATGTTACCATTATTCAAAGTCTGTAGTCTGTGTAGCCTCAGGGTCTCATCTCTGTCTATGACTTTTTTCATTTCACATTCACATAATCACAGACAGTGAACATCCCTGCCCTTGCCTCATGGTGTGGCTATATCCATGTGAACAATAGCTTTCCTGAAAAGAAAGATTTATAAGAGATTAGACCCCCATCAGTATTCCTTGGGCACAAAGTGCTGTTAAACAGTTTCACAGGCATTATCCGTCTAGTGTCCCTGAATCCTGATGGTGAAAAATGTGACAGTAAAGTAATAAGGAGACTCCGTAATGTCACCTCCATGACAGAGAAAGGGCACAAGGGAATACACCTCAACCTTTTTGTAGAGAAAAGAACGCCTTACTTCCCTTCAAACCAGGCTTCAAAATATAAATCCCATGTATTTTCTATCAGGAAGATGTCATTATGGGAGGTGTCAGCTTTGTCAGATCTCATGAATTTTAATATCTACGTCTTGTGACAACTTTTTATTAAAAGTCATAACATCCACTTTTCCACAAGTCAGCTGCTTGGATCAATTGGATCTTTACTAAACCTTATATGTACTTTTATTAAACCTTCTGCAAACTTGTCTTCGTTTAGCCGCACTGATCCGTGGGAACAGGAACAACTGCACCCAATTTTCCCGCAACTTGGACTGGTTGGTCAGCAAACTGGAGAGACTGGAATCTTCATCAGGTATTATGGGAAACCTTTTATTTATTTTGAAATTGGAAAAAGCCTAAACCCTTATGAGCATTATACTGATGCTGAGATGTGGTCAGTATACTTTACATTTGCTCTGATAATGACACATGTTCTGTCTGACCTCTCAGGGATCCTGGAAGTCCTCCACTGTATCCTGGTGGAAAGTCCGGAGGCTCTGAACATCATTCAGAGAGGTCACATTCAATCCATAATCTCTCTGCTTTACAAGAATGGACGCAACTACAAGGTAGGCGGAAAAATTACTTGGAAAATTACTTAACAAAAAATAGCCATGCCAGCAGCCTGACAATGAGTCTGTGAAGCTCATAACACGACAGAAAAGCACAAGATGAAACTGCACACCTCGTTTAATCCAGAAAGAAGGGAGCAAGCTTTAAAACACAGATATACAAAGCTGCCTGGTGACCAAATAGAACTCTCAGAAAAAAGGACATGTGGACTGCTTCTTGTGTTAGTGACATTCTTACCATGTTTATATGCAGTGTTTATATATCACAGTTCCTTAAAATTCCCTGTACATTTTACCAGGCATGAAACGGCATCCTTGTAAACGAACAACAGCTGTCATTTCACGAGTGTTAGGTAGAAGTCCATGGTCATGTTGACTTGAGGGTTCTTTATAAAATATGCATATGCTACAAGCATTGCAACAAAAGAATCGGACTGATCGACTGATCATTAAACTGAAAAACAAGGTGCAGATGTTGTGCAACACTTTTATAAAACAACAGAGAGCAATACAATGGCTGAGTTTTACCTCCACTTTTCCTCTGTTTTAGATTCTGGATGTCCTCTGTTCCCTCTGTGTTTGTAACGGGGTTGCAGTGAGAGCCAATCAGAATCTGATCTGTGACAACCTGCTTCCCAAGAGAGACCTGCTGCTTCAAACTCGACTCGTCAATGATGTTCAGAGGTGACGGTCAAACTTTCCATTCAAGGCTTCTTGATAGCTGGCTTTATCAGATGTCATTTCTCTTCGCCACGCGATGGGTTTATGGGATTATTCACAACTACAATGATTTCTATTCTTCATCTTTCTCTCTAATCTCCTCCAGTATGAGGCCGAACATCTTCCTGGGTGTGGCTGAAGGTTCAGCTCAGTATAAGAAGTGGTATTTTGAGCTGGTGATCGACCAGGTGGACCACTTTGTAACCGGAGAGCCGACCCACCTGAGAGTGGGCTGGGCCAACACTAAAGGCTACGCTCCGTACCCCGGGGGAGGAGAGGGGTGGGGCGGCAACGGTGCTGGAGACGACCTGTACTCCTACAGCTTTGATGGACTTCATCTCTGGTCAGGTAGGCATCTTTATCTATCTATATAATAATATATACAATCTATATAAGACCTGCAGCAACACTTGCTAGTTTGTTATGAGATAGAAGCCTATTGGGAAACACAGAAATCTCACTGTTCATCTGCAGCCAAGTTTCAAAGGTATTGTTGTGTTACCTTCTTGGAGTATGCAAGGTGTGAACATACTGTCTTTACTTTATAAAGTTTAGCTCCTCAAGTGAGTTTTTGGTAACACAAAAAGAAAGTATTTTTGTAAAGAAATATGTAAACTTTATTTTTAGGTCATTAAACCATTGAATTGTATCATTTGAAATGTTAAAGGTAGGGTAGGTAATTCACTTCAGATACACTTTTTGTTATATTCCATGGAATGCTCTTAACATCCCGATAGCAATGAATACATGAAGTGCTTTGACAATAAATACATAATACAATTTCATCTGTGGAAGCCGTGGCGCTGTAAAAAGCACGACCAATCATCTGAGCCGGCCCGGCTAAAATAACTGGATGGCCTACCTGCCTGTCAGCCTTCCATCTGTGCACAAACCTATCTCGTGCCCTCATTGGTCATGTGTGCGTTCGTGTGTGTTGGAGGAGGGGCTCTGTAAGGAAGTCTGAAGGAAGGGGCAGATTTTTTTCGGCTGCGTACTTTCAAAATCTAGCGCACTCGAGCTGGTTTCTCCATTCTTACCTACCCTACCTTTAAGTGTTTTTTTTAAGTTTTAAAGTGTTTCCTACGTGAAGACATATCATTGAACTATACCCAAAACTGTTTTCTGTTGCTTTTGAAAAACAAAAACAAATTTGAATCATTGCAGCAAATGATACCAAGACAGAGCAGTCATGGTGAGCAAAAATAACTGTTGTGGATTTGGAAGGACAGATTTTTCTGTGAATAATGCAGCAGCCTGCTGTCCACTCTCTTCGTTGCTCCTTCATTTTCTACAAAGTAAAGGACAAAGTCACAGCTCTTACAGTGATATCAAATTAAAACCTCAATCGTAGGCATGTCTTTTAAAAGTCCTTATGGAAGGTCTAACATCTTTAAGTTGTACTTGTGTAAACACGATGCAAAGGTGAATACCAGCAAATCACAGATATGAAGGTATACCAAAACATAACTCTTCTGGTGCTTCAGGGCTCCAAAGCCTTGAATACCCTCTCTTCTCTGCTCTCACTCTAAAAGCGTAACACCTACTTCAGTTCACCCCCCCCTTCCAAATCTACTAAAAGTCCCATCACTTTTTCATTTCCACCCTTTTTAAGCACTCATCCCCATCTCTCCCCCTCTCTGCTCAACTCTTCCCCCCCCGCCCATCATCCTGCCCTACTTTCGCAATGACTTTGCTGCTGATACATCCATCCATCTTCTCTCTCTTTCTTTGCCTGATGTTGTCTAGGCCGAATCCCCAGGGCCGTGGCCTCCATTAACCAGCACCTGCTGAACTCAGACGACGTGGTGAGCTGCTGTCTGGATCTGGGCGCTCCCAGCATGTCCTTCAGGATCAACGGGCAGCCTGTCCAGGGCATGTTCGAAGACTTCAACACCGACGGCTTCTTCTTCCCCGTCGTCAGCTTCTCTGCAGGTGTCAAGTAAGGCTCCGCATTTATAATTCGGTAAAGATATGACAAAGCAATCTCAAAAGAAGGGCTTGTTTTTTAAACTCGAGATTTAATTACAGCTTGGCAGACTATGACAACTTAATAAAGTAATGAGGTACTTTTAAATTAAAGATTACTGGGTTGGCCTTTTGTCAGGGATCAACAAGAGAAATACACAAAACTTTTCTTAAAAGCCACAATCTTCTTAAAACTGTAATCTTATTATTACTAGTTGTAACCAAGTACAGAACAAATGTGTTGGAATAAGATTCATGAAAAAGGTAGTGCTATTATCAGGGTGTCCGCAGGGTCTTAAAAAGTATGAAAAGTTGATAAATCAATTTAGCGAAAATTAAGGCTATTAAAAAGTATTAAACAGCATTTTCCAAGGTATTACATTTTGTAGCTTGTTTTCAATAAGTATATAAATTGTCCAAAGAG